CATGTTGTGGAAGCTCTGTGACAATTCATACAGCTGGTACCTGAGCTCCCTTTGCAGAGCAATGCTGCTTCCGGGAGCACCCTAGCCTGACCCAGCAAAATACTCAAGCATGTACCTAGGCTCATTTCTATTCAGCCAAACATTTAAGCACATGTTTAAATCCCACGGAAGTCAGTGGGCCTCGGCATGCACTTAGTACTGAGCTGAACAGGTAGGAGCTTACACATGTAGTTAAACACACACTTAAGTACTTTGCTGGACTGGTGCTAGATTGCTCAACATTTTAAAAGCCCACAGTACAGTCCACAGTGTACCAAGTAAGGAAATAAGGACTGTAGATAAGCAACACACTTACCTAGTGGAGCTTCTGAATTTGTTCTTATTACACTACAGAAATCAGTGATGCGCTGCTCCGTGAATCTCTTCTTCCAATATAAAACATATCTTAAAAAACAACAAACAAACAAACACATGTGCATGTGAAGTAGGAACCTTTATTATAAAATATTTCCTGAACTATTAGCGACTGTATCTTACACACATCACTCTCATTCTTATTTCAGGGGTTTTAAAATTTAAAATTACTTATCCAGTGCTGTTTCTGTAGAGCTGCCATGTATTTCAATCAAGTGAATTGAACTCCAGTTCGTGAAAGTTAATCAGCTTCTCTGAAGCAGATTTCAGCAAAAACAGGCCTGATCCAAAGTTCACAGAAGTCAATAAAAAAAGACTTCTACTGACTTTAATGAGCTTTGGATCGAGCTTCACATAAGACATGGGAGTTTGTCAAATCCTTAGACAGACCCATCACTCTGTTTTTTTTTTTTTTTTAAATAAAAAAGAAACTAAGTGAGAACAGGTTGCACCCTCTCTTAACTGGGACTCTCTGGTCTGGCAACATCCGTGGTCCAGCAGCACCATGGATTTTCCTGAAGAGATTAAAAAGTCTGGGACTTTTCAGCTTAGAAAAGAGGAGACTAAGGGGGGATATGACAGAGGTCTATAAAATCATGACTGGTGTGGAAAAAGTGAACAAGGAAAAGTTATTTACTTGTTCCCATAACATAAGAACTAGGGGTCACCAAATGAAATTAACAGGCAGCAGGTTTAAAACAAAAGGAAGTTTTTCTTCACACAGCACATGGTTGGCCTGTGGAACTCTTTGCCAGAGGAGGTTGTAAAGACCAGGACTTTAACAGGGTCCAAGAAAGAGCTAAATAAATTCATAGAAGTTAGGTCCATCAATGGCCCTAGTAGCCAGGATGGGTAGAAATGGTGTCCCTAGCCTTAGTCAGAGACTGGGAATGGGTGACACAAGAGGGATCACATGAGGATTACTTGTTCTGTTCATTCCCTCTGGGCCACCTGGCATTGGCACCTATCAGTAGACAGAATACTTAGCTAGATGGACCTTTGGTCTGACCCAGTATGGCCATTCTTATGACCACAGAGCCCAGCTAAAGTGTTGCCAAATCATGGGGCAGGAGCCCAGTGGTAGGCAACCTAGAGAGGCAGGCGGGGGCCAACAGGGAGCTCTGGCCTGGGGAACCACAGCTGGGCAGGCACCAGTAGCGCTGAGCTAGAGCCCTAACCAGGAGCAGTTCAGCTCCAACCATGTTGGGAGGGACCTCCCCAGAAGCTGGGCAGGCACCAGTAGCGCTGAGCTAGAGCCCTAAGCAGGAGCAGTTCAGCTCCAGCCATGTTGGGAGGGACCTCCCTAGTATGGCAAATTCCCTTGTTTGGGACCGGTCAGGTCCTGAGTGTGCCAGATGAAAGAGGTCCAAACTGTTTTTAATAATTCCCAAAATATTAGCTATAGATGGGCACTCTATATGGAATCTGTTTATAACAACTTTGGAGCAGACCCTAAAATAGGAAGATAGTGTCATTTTTGTTTTTAAAATTAGTGAACCTCTTTTAATCTGAAGTTCTAAAGAGAGTGATGCTGCATAACAATTCAAGAAAGAAGTTCCTGTGATGGATGGGAGGGGTACTACCATCCTTTTCTAAACAACATCTCAACATTCAGTAACTAAAAGGTTAAGCCAGAACAGTGGGTATCCAAGAAGTGTTGGCAGAGAGCCAGGAGAGCCAATGGGGAAAGACGTAAAGATTTTTTTTTTTTAAATGAAACAAGTTGTCTGTTTCAGTTTCCTTTGTGTGGAAGTTAGAGCAGGAGCTAGAGAGAAATGGACCTAACAGTAATAAGTCATGAATTTTCAGATATATCCACGTCTAAGAAAAGAAACCTAAACTTTGAAACAACAGAGATGCAAGTACAACAGGGAATGTTTATAGTTAGACGTAATTAGGTTATTTTCTTTGTCTTTTAAGTTGGTCAAATGCCTCTGTGTTAACACCCCCATACACTGTAACTTAATCCCAGGAAAGCAATTCTCTGTACTTAAATCTTTTAGTTGCTCTGTAACACCTAACAACCAAAATGCATTACCAATCTTCTTTTTAACAACAAAATCAATCACCTTTTTTAAGACCTTCATCTAATTCCCATGTTCTAGAAGGCAGCAGGTTCTGTGTCCATGTGCCTGAACTGAAGCTCAGCTGTTTAGAGAGAGTCTGAAAACAAACTGTACTCTCTTAAGGGAGGGTATGACCTGGGGGTTACCCCACAGAGAGAAATGCCCAAGTGCTTGTTCCTGGCTTCAAGGGGTTTTTGCATTTGGGTGGCAGCAGAGTACCAACCAAGGTCAGTGAGTCTGTGACTGGGTGCCACCCTGCAGCCTTGTTCAGCTCCCAGCCTTAGCTTTTTATTGCAGTTTAGCAACAGATCTGCACCCAACCCTGGTCCCACGCCCCAACCTTGGCTCATAGCTGTGGCTCCAGTCCCAGACCTGCCTCCAGCTGAAGCCATCTCATCCCTGTCCTTGTTCCTACTCCTAAGCCCTGGAAGGTTCAGGGGTGAGAGAGAAAGAGCAGGTCGTAGACAGAGATAAAGGGGCCACAACACTTATGGATTTAGGGAGGATTACAGTTATTGCTTCAGGTCTTACAATACATGTATTATCACTGCATTTACAGGGAAATACAGCAATCCAAAGGATTGTCTACACAACCTTTAGTTTTCAGCAAAGTAGGATGTCAATCTGCCTGGGAGTAAGTGTCCACACAGATCCTACTGCCACGCTAACAGTTTCACAGTTAACTTTAATTTACTCCCATTTCAAGGCAGTGTAGATAAACTACACTTTGAAAATATTACTGTACTGCATTGGTGTTCACACAGACATTTTGGGTGTAGCGGGCTAGTGTGGGTTGATGCATACCTCCAGTATGCCATAGGGTTGCCAAGTGTCCAGTTTTGAACCGGACAGTCCAGTATTTGAGCTTTCTGTTCGGGAAACAAATTGAGAAAATATAAATGTCCAGTATTTTCTAAATAAGATGTAACGTAGATTGTGATGTAATGTCAAGTGTGTCCGGTATTTTTGTTGAAACCATCTGGCAACCCTAGTCTGCCATGAGCAAAGTGTTCGTATGAAGAAGCTCCAGGTCAACTTTAAGGAAGAGCTAATCAATGTCTTTCAAACCATACTCAGAAGATTTATTTATATATTTATTTTTGCAGAGGAACAAATTGAGGCCTGTAGGTAGGCTAACAGATATAGAAATGCAGAAACATCCTCTGCTACCACCCCGCCAAAAAAAAACCTAAACTTCTCCAGTCACCCTCAACAGGGAAAGATTTCTTCAGAAAACCCTGGAACAATTGCAATTCATTTCTGAGAAAGTTTGAATGAAAATTTTATTATTTATTACTTGTTTGGGGCTTGTTAGTCCCACTGTAACACAAGACCAGGGCACCTATATGGTAGGAGTCACTGTACAAAAGGGTAAAACACAGCCCTTGTTAGACAAAGCTTACAGATTTAGGGGGGAGGAAGTAAGCCAGGACAGCTTACCTGGTAGTTTTTGGAATTCTAAAATGAAACATGAGCCTGAAAACAATTTGTCTCCGTAACAGAAAGCTCAAATACTGGACTGTCCGGTTCAAAACTGGACACCTGGCAACCCTAAGCGCACAAAATATACTAGCCTGCGCCGCTGCCCCCCCCCCCAGGTTCTGGTGTGTGAGGGGGAATATGGGGAGTGTCTTTCTCCTTAGTCAGGGGCCAGGTCTGTGAGAGTTTGGTTGTGTGGGGCCCTGACTGATTTTTCCAAAAAGGTTCCCCACCCCTATTTTAGGAGGAAATGTCCAAGGATTTGCAGGATACAATGCTGTGGACAAGATGTCCCTCTAGCTTCCTCCCATTCTGATAAGCCCCTTCTAGCTAAAATGTCTAACCTCACATGATAGGAGTAACAGGGCTAATATTGCACTGGAGAAGCATTGCAAGCAAGACAGAGCATGCTGCATTGTTGCAGCTCCATCATTTCACATTCTGCTGCCACTTTCAAGCAGGCGTGGCTCCTTTCCACTTGCATTAGCACGGAAAAGAATCTAAAGAGCAATTTTCTAGAAAATGTAATTTTAAATTACATTTGTTTAGCCAGAATAATCCTAACGGTACCATTAAATGAGCATTCCTTGAGCGCACACTTTGTTTATAGAAAACTAGCCTTTTCTCTGAAGATGACTACATTCTTGCTCTACCTGCTTTCAGCATTAAAACATTAAATAATGGTCCTTGTTTCTGTTAGCAATGTTAAGCTTACACTTGAATAATTCTTAGGATCTTATATGGCCTACTTTTCATTTCCTATTTTATCTTAATCTTTCACTTTAAACCATGGTATTTAGACAAATCACTGCTTTGTAAGGAAGCCTAATCATAATAATTCAGAAAAGTGGGTATTATGAAAGTGCTGAGACCTACTTTGTTTCAATTGTATAATTTTCCTTCTAAAATGTATAATTCCAACAAAGCAAACAAAAATGAGTAGATATGAGCCAGCCTGGTGTCCTAACACTATGCACCACTATGTGGTAGAGTTCCAAGCAAAAGGTTATACACAAGCGCACATTTAGATATGAGACCCAGCTGGTTCTGAGCCAACTGTTGAGGGAGAAGTAGGAGCAAGCTGCGATGACCAACAACGTAACAATGGAAGAGGTCTTAGTTACATGGAAGTGGGAATACAGTATGACACAATCAAAGAAAGTGGAAATGCTATGAACCAATATAGACTAATTAAAGGTAAATTGATATGACTTCTTAGGCAATCCTCTCCCATGACAATTCCTCACACAGACACACACACAATGATTTTGGGGGGAGGGGGGGCGGGGGGAGAGAGAGGAAAAAAAAAGACAAAAAGAACTAGCTGGAAACAGCGGCGGATTTAGGGCAGGGTGAGCGGGGCGGCTGCCCTGGGCCCCGCGCTTCCCGAGGCCCCGCGCATGCACGTTGGCACCACAGTGCATGCGCTGTGTCAAGGGGGGGGGGGGCGAAATTTTGCTGCCCGGGGCCCCGCGCTTCCCGAAGCCCCGCACATGTGCCTTGGCACCACGGCGCATGCGCTGTGTCAAAGGGGGGGGAAAGATGGGAAGATGAATGTACCCTAGGAAGGGGGAAATGAGTGCATGGAAGAAGGAAATTAAGGCTCCTTGCGCTGTCCTGTCTGAAGCCAAGAGGGGATACCCTGGAGATGGCAGCCCTTTAACACAGAGCACTGTATGAAATGAACAGAACTTGTCAGTACTGAAAAGTAACTTCTGAAGAGACTAATATTGCTAGGGATTAGCTTCTTTTTGCAATTCATAAGTCTTAACTACCAATTATAATGATCTGTCTTATGTTCTAAACAACATATGAATGCCAGTAGTGATAGGATCAAAAGACTCCTACAGGATACCTAGCAGTCTTAGCTTGATATTTAAGTTTGCAAATGTCCCCCAAAAGTACTGAAGAGTTATAAACCAGGTGATCAACTGTAGGTATCTTACTCACACATTTGTGTCATCTATATTAACTGGAAAAAAATTACCTTCTGAAATCTGCAACCAGCTTGACATCTGCTATGACAAGCTTGTGTTCAATTATCATGTGCTTCAGAAGTTGGTCTTGTTCTGCTAGCAGAGAATTTTCCTCACAGAAAATACAAGGCACAGATGGAGACTCTTCCACAGCAGCAACACCACCTGGACTTTCTGGCAAACACAGAGGCTCCAAAATACACTCACCATCTGAAGGAAACAAAAGCAAAAAGCTTTGTTGGACTGCAGTTTCTTCTTCAATCTCCAAAGTAATCTTAAATTAACCAATATTCTTTCAAAAACCTCTTTTGTATGGATGACTTGTAAAGGCACAGATGGAGACTCTTCCACAGCAGCAACACCACCTGGACTTTCTGGCAAACACAGAGGCTCCAAAATACACTCACCATCTGAAGGAAACAAAAGCAAAAAGCTTTGTTGGACTGCAGTTTCTTCTTCAATCTCCAAAGTAATCTTAAATTAACCAATATTCTTTCAAAAACCTCTTTTGTATGGATGACTTGTAAGGAACGCAAGTAGAATCAGCATGGAAAGAGAGCTTTTGTTGCTTTAAC